TGTTCATGGTATAGTTCTATTTCTGTTCGCGCCTCGATCATAACGACACGAGAAAGAGGTAGGAACAGCGTTGCCAGATGATCAAAATGAAATTACCGTACCTGCTTGGTAAAAATTACCGTACATTTAAAAAATTAAAATAAAATATTTAAAATATAAAAGCAACAAAATTAAAAAATATATTTTAATGAAAACTTAAAATAAATAAAAGTTAATTTAAATAAAAAACATTTAACAAAACAATGCAGCCCATAATTTTCTCCAAGAATTTCATTCTAATCCTAGATATATGAGCTGGACTTTTGGAATATGTACTTATAAAAAAATCATAAATAACAAAAATCACAGGGCAAATGAAACTTAAAGTTAATAATAATATTATTATTATTCGATTAAAAACTCATCATTAATCTTTTATGCAGCTAAACCCGAGATGGCGCTATATTAATTTAAATGCACATACTCCACTGTGTGGAAGTATGTGTTTAAATGTGTAGAAAAACCATAGACAAAAGAAGGAAAGGACCATAGAGGTTTTTCTATAGACAATAAACAAATAGAACAAAAACACCAAAAATAAAAAAATATTGTTAATAATATTATGTATGAAAATATGTCAGTTAGTAAATTTACCGTACATTTGTGTACGGTATTGAGGTTTGTACCATATACCGTATTTTCATTCAAATTACCGTACAAATACGGTAATTACTGTACGAATGGCAACGCTGGGTATACCCATAGGAACATTCCCATTCCTATAGGAACGATATACCTACAGGGTTGCCAAACCACCTCTTTCTCTTTAATACGTAAGTAGTTGATTTTTGATTTTAATGATTTTATATTTAAATATAATTAATAAATAATAAAGTACGTTGACAGTCTTGAGGTTTTTATTTTTTTTTAATTTTTTTTTTGTAATAAAAATAATAAAATATGTGCGCCCGGGGGGGGGGTCCGGACCCGGCGGACCCCCCCCTAAATACGCCACTGATCAAATTTTATTAAAAAATATCAAGAATTACAGGTTTTATACCATTTTAAATTTTTATTATTTCTTTTACTAAATTAAAAAAATAGAAATGGTATAAAATCTGTAATTCTTGAATTTTTTTAATAAAATTTGAAATTTGTCGAAAACTTCAGTGAATTAAATATTGTACCACTCTAATGAATGAATGAATTATCTTAATTTGGGGGGGCAGGAGGCTGGGGGGGGCACACTTAAAAACTAACTTTTTTTGCAAACTTTAATTTGAATTCTGCTTGCGCAGAATTTGTCTATATAATGTCATTATAAACTCATATAAATTTGATGTGGGTCCCATGTCTAATAACTGAGATATGGGTGTGCCCAAAACCCACCAGCCGCCACTGCTTCAAGTTTTTATAACATCTTTACTATCAGTATAGGATTTCTAGATTTTTGCTCAAAGTAATATCTATATCAAAATAATTAAAAAAGAAAAAATCCTTCTTTGTTAAGAGTGCCAATATTCTTGTCGATTTTGTAAATTATCTTAAAAATGGATGCAGCCGGTATTGCAAATAGACGTCTCACCTATTTGTATTTATAGTATAAATTTTATACTGTGATTGTAGTTAAGTATACCTACTTACTGTTTAAAATGCTGTTATGCATTAAACCTTTCAAGAGGGGATATAGCTCAGTGGTAGAGCATTCGACTGCAGATCGAGAGGTCCCCGGTTCAAACCCGGGTGTCCCCTAGTAAACATTTTTTGTTTTTTTTTTCCAGAAGTTATTATTATTACCATTATTATAATATTTATTATAAATGTTTATGTAAGGGGGGAGCACTTTAATGTTAGTGGACATGGAGTTGTATGAGGAAAACCTTTTTCAAAAGTTTATTTAAATGTAAATTAGAAGCAGTTAAGTGTTAATATTTCTCACATTTTCTTTTAGACATCACTTTTTAACAATGGTTTATTAGCAAATATAAGAGATAACAACCAATTAAGTCACCATATAATTAAATTTGCAAGGATTAAAGTAGTCTGCACAAGTATGTAGCTAGAAAAAAGTTTCGGGGGGAGTTAGCGTTAGCTAGTAAGGTTGCAGAACTGTATGTATTGTTTGGGCAGTGTAAAAAAAGTGTCTATCTTGCTTGAAATTTTGCTAAATGTATTTTGTCCAATCGGCTGTACTGTGCATTTATTATTTTTATAATAAATGTATAGGCGATTAAGGGGAGTGTGGGTAGGTCTAAGGGAAACATATTTGTTGTATTTAGTGTAATTAATATTTTCCTTTACTTTATAAGTGCTTTTAAACATTAAAAATTCTGCATTAACAATCTTTAATCTTTCCGATAGATAAGCAACTAATACATTTTCTGTTAAGTTTTTGGCTTTTTGATCCTTTGTCCAGTTTTTAAATAATTCATAGCACCTTTCGTATCGTTGCAACGCGTTGTCTTAACTTTGTAGGTAACAAATTCGTAGAAACATTGCTAGCTTCCTCTTTTTAAAATCTGGTAAAGTATTCGTAAATTCTTCGTCACTGTCCGAGTTACCATTCATTTTCACTTTATTACAAAATTTAAATCAGGTTTTATGTATTGTTTTGTTGTCCGTTTTTATTTTGATTTACACAAACATCTGAAAATCTCAAATGTCAAAATACATAAATATCAGTTAAAGGTGTCTAGATTGTGAAAAACTACAAAAATCAAGTTTAGCGGCCCTAGGGACGATATAAGTTTACCGACCCTGGAGACAATAAATATTATTTTCGGTCATATTTTTTGGTTTGATATGATTCATTTTTATATGAGCTGGACGAAACAGTTTTAGTATATATACCTATAGGTACAAGGCATTTCACTAAATGCATTGCCGTAGGTACGTAATTTACAGTACGACCAATATTTATTGATATTGAAAATAAGTGAAACAAGGCAACAAACATTAAAATTTACTTTACAGGAAGTGTTCCCCCCCTTGACTAAGGCCATTCCTTACTCAATGCTAAGGCCTCGAATCTGCACAAGATGTTTGATGAGATAATTTATATTTAATTAAGTGGTATTCATTTAATTTTGTCACACACATGTTACGTAAATTAATGATAATTAAATAAATATTGTAAAAATGTTAAGATGATTGTATATTATTTAAAATCCTTTCTAAAATTTTCTTTCTATAATACAAAATATTAAAATATAAATGACTATAGATAAATAAATTGAACTGAAAGTGACATTTTTACTGATATCTTTTAGTTTCGAAAAACAGTTATTAAAAGAAAGCTTTACAGATACAAACAGTTACTTTATACTCTTTTTCATGATATATGCATACTATGCATTTCAACAAGATTAAAACGATGATCACGAATGAGATACTTTCAATTTTAAATGGAATTCTATAATACTATAAAATTTAATTCCTTGTCTCTGATGCGAATAGGTATGTAAAAAAATGTTTACTAAAAATAAATAAATAGGTAATTAAACTTTAAAGTTTAATCTTTTTTTAAATATAATAATATAATAAATTAATAGTAGGTATATTATGTTTCAAGTTTGATAAACTCCATTTTAGTCACGAATTTTAATTAAGCACGATCAAGCTTGCGAATAAGTGTTTAATTAAATCAGTGTTTAGAAAAGTTTATAAACGAGTTGAATTCTATACTTTTTTACGACAAATATAGGTACCTACTTATTATTATAGTCGTCGCGGCGAATGTTTCAAATTGCGTCATCAATGTCGAATGTAAAAACCGTTTTCTCGACATACGGTTAACCTATAGCGGTTCCTTGGATTGTATACGTAAAAGAAAACAACAATAATTGTATTGTCTGTTCTTGGTTCAGAATTTGATGACGCAATTTGAAACATTCGCCGCAACAACTATATATTAAAATGATTTAAATTAAATATTTGTATAAAGCGACATCTATAAAAACAATAACCGTTCTTGGGAATCTGTATTACCAGCGCGCCGGTGAAAATGAGTCTTATCTAATATAAAAATTATTTAACTTTTAAGTCTTTTCGCGATAAAATAAATTTGTCTGAAGATCAATGGCATTCTACGCCAGGCGTAGTTAAAGTACTTTTGAAATTATTACAAAAATTGTTGCTCTAAGTTGATTTCCCCTTCAGCGCATAAATTCGCAGCTAAGCTGCAATAAATAATGATTTGCCGAATAATCATTTTAAGGAAAAAATTTAACCTACACCTCGACAAAGTTTTTTGTTTTGAGTGCGTTCCACCAACTTCAAATACCGACAGACAGCTGTTTCGACACACTCAAAACAAAGGACTCCCTGAGCTTATATGCTGTTGGTAAGCCAACAGGGGCGAGATGTAAGAACATCAGGTGATCCACACCGTCAAACGACGTGGCCTTTGCCGTAATCGGTACATACTATGCAACCGGGACTGCACACAGCAATTGTATCACAGATACTAATATGGCCCATACACCATGTTGTCCGATACTGATGAGACCCAATATAGGTCGAAACAGCTGTCTGTCGGTATTTGAAGTTGGTGGAACGCACTTAACACAAAAAACTTTGGCGAGGTGTAGGTTCAAATTTTTCTTATGAATATTATGGGTCAAGAAAGTTTCTTAAAGAAACTAAGAAAATTGAATGTTTATCCTTTTAAGGCTTCCAAAAATAAATAAATGAATCTTTCGTATACTATTATTAAATCGATTATCTGTTAGGCGACATTAGCTGCAGCTATTGTATCTTACAACAATTGTTAACAATCTTTAAATGAATAATTTTCAGAATTTTTTTTTTCAAAATCACCGAAATATCATTTCCATTCATTGTAAATATTTTAATATATTATAGGAACCTCGAAAATGCTGCAGCATGGGGCGTGACTCCTCGCTACTTCCCTAGTATCAAAGGAAACCATTTTTTCCTAGGGCGCATACGTAAAATATTAATTTTACTGACCTATTTCTTTTAAATAAGAGGGTCTAAAAGAATAAATACTTTTATATTACCTTGTATAGCTTGTTCCAACGCCTTTTTTCTAGTACTCAAAATCCTCTGTATATCAGGTTGGTAGCCCAATAAGGATTTTGCCAATCTAGCAACTTTGGTTTTTAATGTTGGGTCATCATGGGTGGCGAACAGTTTTACCAACTGCCAAACCACCTGCTCTGAATTCACGTTGGGTCTCTGACCTGAAGTGGTCAATCTATGTAGAACAAAAAAAATGTATTAGAAAAAATTTTATTAATAAATATTTAAATTCAAAAAGTTTAACGTATTTTAATCCCACAAATAAATACATATAAAGATTAAAATCTAAATAAAAATATATCATACAATCTTCCTTTACTTAATTTGGAACATTAGGAAATGATTCCAAAATTTGAATACAAAAAGGTGTTAAATTTATTTGATATGCAAATTAAACTACCTGTTCACGTTTGACCTTTGACTTGATGCTATTAACCCAGAAAGAAATCCAGAGAATTGTTTTAATTATGCGTCAAGAACAATTAGATGCAGTTAGATGCATCTCCTTCGTGTTAACTATCCATTTCGTGAAATTTCTAGTACGATACGATGTTTTTAAAGGAATTTGTTGATAATAGGATTAATATAAAAAGTATGCTTCGTAAAGAGTTAGATCGGGCTATAAATGGCCTTTCTTTAACTTTTAATTATTATAAATACCCACATTTTCTAAATATGTTTAATTCTTTATAATCATATAAAAAGTTTATTCCATTTTATACAGCAATACCCTATACTTTCATACGGTTTACAAATTTATTTTTAAGGAAAATAACGTAGTTTTATATATTTTACAAAATTATTTTTGAATAAATTATGGTGTTAAAGGCAAAAAGCTTTGCAAAAGACACTCAGGTAATGAAATTACAAGTTTTTCGAACTTTGACTAAAAATCTGGTGTCCAGATGATACAAGAAACAATGGTCCAGGTACCAAGGCGAGTAAAGGAAAGCCAGAAAATGGTGTCGAACGCATCGCTTCTTTTAAATTTTAGCTAAAATAAAATTTATTGTAAAGATTTGTATAAAAAATTGTGTTTGTGTATTCTCCAAGGTAAGTTCTTAATTTTAGTTGCCCAATGTATGTACTAAACGTAGAACGATTCAGATTTATGTTAATTAATTATTAGTTATTTTGCACTATAGTGCACTACGTAGTATACTAGGTTTAGCGAATTTTACTCGATATTAACACCTTTTCTTTTAGCTATTTTTACAAAATGTTCTTGGCTTTTAAGATTACTGTTTAATGTAAAAATTTCAATTCCATTATTTTATTGTTAACTTAATTTAGTTGTACACTGTCCCTCGATTATGCATTTTAAAACTAATATCGGTGTGATACGGGATGTTTCGTTGCATAAAAGGGAGTATTGACCTTTAATTTTAAACTTTAAATGCTCCTTTTTCCTTTAGTGTTAAATGTTCTCCAGTCGACCCTTCGTCTTTAGGCGAGGTGTCTCCAGTGTGGACACACTAATAGTAAGCTAACTAACAACTTTTTTCCTATTTTTGAACCTTTAGCGTTAGATAAAGTAACGAGAGTCGCGTCATCACATTAATTTGCATAAACTTAAAAAAACAATCGTGTAATCCTTTGCTACTTCATAGCCGAACAGGGTTTTTTTTCTCAAGCTCTTTGTCCCTGGTCTTATCTTTGCTTGCTTGTAAAAGGTTTGTAAAGTAAATTAAATTGGGGTAAACTAAACACTGTATTTTATTTTTTGTATACCCAATTCTCCTCAGTATGATTCCTAAAGCAATATATTTAATAAAACAAGTAAGTAAACATAACGCGTAGAGGTCCAAATTTGGGTAAGACGATCACGAGCCAAAGTCACAAAATAGTATAAGTATTAAGTTTTTATAAAACTTGTTTTAAACGAACCTGGTGTAAGGAGAAATCTTTAAAATACCTAAATTTTTCTAAATATTTTTAATTTTTATAATCATATAAAAACATTTAAAATGTTTATTCCTTTTTAAACAGCAATTTGCAAATTACATGTAAGCATGTATTAGTATGTTTATTAAAGCTTAAATGAATACTTTCATAACTTGTATTTACCAAACAATAAGAAGATCAAATCTGCGATCATTCTACTATGAACGAAAACATAAACAATGGTTTAGAGAATTATTTCAAGTTTGAAGCGTGCAAAAAGAACTTTTTTTTAAAGAAGAAAATATGCATATCATGATTAAATCAAACACATCATAAATCAATGGACTGCCCGATTGTCGACACAACTTTTGAATGATTTCTAAAATAACCGTTTTGAGTAATTAATTAATAATTGCGTTGTCAATCAAGTGATTTCCGTTATGGACAAGTTATTTATTATATTATTATCGCATTTTTAATTAGTAGGTTTCATTAAATATCATTTTAAACACAAGGTGTCAGTTTTAATTGAATAATTTAATAATAATTTTAGTTATTTCTATATATGCTATACTGTACTTAAGTTTAAAAGGTTAAATAGATGCGCTAAAATAGGATACTTATTGTAGAAAATGAAAGGTAGTAAAGAAATACTATAAAATGTTTTGGTGTCGATTTTCACTTAAACAACAAGTTTTACTCTGCTCTGCGATGCATTAAATCAGTTTTGGTGTCAGTGGTTCTCACGAAACGCAAGTGCAAGTTGCGATATGAATCAATGATTTCAATGACAAATAAAAACATTAAACAACTTAAAAAACTACTTGCTTTATTTATATTGTATAGAAAGCAAATATTTGTCATTGGAGTAACTATATTTATTTAAAGTTAATAAATAAGACAGGCCTACAAAAAGGTTAAACAGAATATTGTGATACCAAGGGCCTTAAAAATTTGGAAATAATTTTTATTTTTATTTCGACATTAAGTGCACATTTTCCGATTATGATTTAAACAAAATATCCGGAAAATGCCCACCTCGACTTTTCTGGCACACCCTCCCTCTTTTAATGTTTTTTAACATCCTCGCATATGTGCTTCTGAGTTTCGCCAATAACGCATCGAATATCGTCTTTATTTTGATGAATTGTTGCTGGTTTGTTGACCCAACTTTTGCAATTTTGTTTGTTGACATAGCCACTGAAGAAAAGTGCGCTTCATCTCTAAACAAAATTGTTTTTGCAAATTCAACATCTTGTTGCCTTGCCAGAATCCAATTAACAAATTAATAATTGGACAATTAAATCTTGATCTTCTTAAAAATGTTATTGACCCACTTATAATCGAGTCATTAGAAAATCAGATGGACGAGCAAAGAAACACGTTGTTTGATGAAGGAATTTTGTACTTTCAATAAGATATAACTTCTCCTCACTATTCTTGACCAGTCAGAGAATGGTTGGACCAAAGGTTTCCCAAGAATTGGATTGGTAGAAGAGGTGCTCAAGAATGGCCGGCAAGATCTCCAGATTTAACGATAATTTAAGAATGTAGGCAAATAACTCCTATAACGTTTCAAAAAGTTGGACAAACTTTTTGAAACGTTATAGGAGTTTTCTGCCTGCAAATAACGGAGCACATTTTAAACATTTAAAATAATTGTATTTATATCACACCTTTTTTGACTCTAACTCGCAAATTCGTGATTGGAGTTTTTTTTTTTAATTTAATGGATCAGAAATTGCATTTTCTTTAAAATGATGTGCCATTTAATAGGTATTTGTGTATTAAGAGCGCAGTGATAAAAATATTTTTTGACCGTGCAAATCGCTGTATCTCAAGGAGACTTTAAATAAAATTAAAGAATTTTGTCTAAATAATATTTATTTGTCCAATTTTAAAATAGTCCTGGAATGCACCTTGTATTTTTTAATAAAATGTCATACATTTTTTCAGAGTGAAAACATTGTTTTAAAAAATATTGAAAAATATAAATATTTAATTAATAAAGATTTCTTAAATATCAATTAAATTATTTAACACATAATTATTAACTTAACAATATTTACCGGTCTATTTAACATATAAATTGTTAAATCAACCAATTAACGCATTCTGTAAATTATAATAGTAATTTATTTATTACATTTAATTCTAAAAACAAATTCTGGTATCCGTGATTTATAAATCACGCTAAATTAAAATCTAAACTCACTAATTCTTGATTATTGTAAGTTTGTGTAATTGAGTCATAAACGCACTATTTACATTAATGAAATCATTTTAAATAAAAAAGCTGATGACCGATTTAAGCGGAGTCAAAAAGCAAAATGTGTTACTTACTGCATTTATTTTAAATGACAAGAGATTGCAAAGTAAATGATGTGTGAGAATTAACGTCACATATTCGTTTGTTAAAGACAATAAAGTAGGTATATTGTAAATCTAGCACGGTTGAATTAAGTGGGACAATATCATCAGTGTAAAGTAAATTTTATAGTATTGGAAATATAGATTCTAATATAACAGACTAGGATGTAAAAAACTTCACCTGATTGGTCTAAATTATTTTTTCAGCCAAGGAGATAATCGAATACTTTGTTAGTGCACTGACAATAATAAAGCTTAAATTATAGAACGCTTGAAGATAAATAAAAAAATATTTTATCTTTAATCGATCTATAATTTAAACTTTATTTATTGTAAGCACTTGTTACTAAGGTGATTATTAATCAATGATTATGGCCTAGGCACAACAATTATTTAGACGGGTAAGTTTATTTATGGCCTAGGTTGTAAAAATTTAATATTTACTACTTTGGACCAATGAAAAAATTCGACTTCCTTCAGAATAATCTAACCTTACTTTCGGTAATTGTACGTTTTATATATTATTTAACAAATAAAATTGTGCCTTGAAGATAAAATATTGCAAGCCATTCTGCCTAAAAGTGTCTTTTTGCGCTTGAGCGAATTGTTTTGAGCTCAGCACAAAAAGACTTTCTTCCTGGCCTAAAGAAATAAATAAATATGACTTAAAGGATAAAAATAGTAGGAACAATTGTATATAAAAATACCAGTTTAGAATTTTCATATTTTACCATTTTTAAAGGAATAAAGAGAGAAAACCGTAATTTCGGTAACAGGTGTAAGTAAATTAAAAAGTATTACAAAAACCATGGTATAAAATGGGTTTTATATTTATTATCCATTTCTTGATTCATTTCTCGAGCAAATCCTGCGAACTTGCAATTAATGCTTTATAAAAATATCGTTTTCGTTTTTTCACAA